CACATGCCTTAAAAAGAATTTAATCACTGCACGCCACAGTCTATAAATACAGTGGCTCCTTCTCAGTCTGGAGCAGGTGCCTTTAGAGCATGAGCTCACCCTTCTCCATTCCTTAATTACAGAATAAGGTTTCTTCTGCACTGCTTTACGGAACTCAGTCTGTTCTATTGGCAGGAATAGTACTGGGCATAAAGAACAGGGTTTGGGTCCCCAACTGGGAAGGGTCAATAGTAGTGGAGTTACTGATACACGAAACAAGCATAAAAACTACACAAATTGACTAAATATTAAACCAGGCTGTATTCGGAGCCTTCTCTGAGCTGGCAGACACGGGAACCTGGCTGATGAGCACACGGTCAGACCACGCGACCGACAGGCCAACTCCTGCGGAGATCACTAACGACGACCTCCTGGGGCCTTTACCGCTGCACACCCACATCGGAAAGGAAAACAGATTCAAAGTGAATTCCTCGGAATCGGAGCCTGAGACCCGCGCCCCGCGCTAGGGTCAGAGGCACCACGTACTCCAGCTCTCACGGTGATTTGGGTTTCTATCAGGAGTGGCCCCTCACTCCGTGACATCTCAGTGAATTCTGCTGGTACCTGTGCTTCCCACCAGCAGTCTGGCCTGAGCCGGTCTGGCCTGCCCTGCTCTCCCACCCCCGCCACGTTCCCTGACACGCTTTTCTAGGGTGTCTGCATCCTCATCCTTTGTTCCCGGCTGCGTGCCCGCTGTTCGCCCAGCGGCTTTCACCATCTGTCCCGCACCTGCCACAACCCGCCAGCGGGAAGTTAAGGCCTCTTAAACCGGGAGGCTGCGCCTGCGCACTCCAGCCAGGCCCGAACTCCCAGGGGTCTGTGCGGCGCCGTGCCGTGCCTCTGCGTTGCATGCTGGGAGTAACCTGAACGGCGGGCTTCCGGCGTCTGAGGAGACGGTCCCTCTAAGTTACATTTCTCCCAGGGACTCGGGATCCACGGGGTGTTTCTCGCCCAGGAAATGAGCCTGGTGTGGGCAGGAAAGGCTCTGCAGAGTCTACCTGGAGCTGTTGGGGAGTTTGGAAACGAGGAAGCCGGAGGTGTTGACAGCGCGTGCGCAATTCCAGTCCCGCGGGTAGGCCGGAAGCGGACGCAGGCGGGCATGAGTGCGCAGGCGCACTGCTGTGGGCGGGCGATCTCCCTAGCTCCTTTCACACTTGTCAGGTGTTGAGACAGTGACGGATGGGAGTCAAGTGTGCCTGGCCAGGCATCCCGGTGTTTAGTTCATTTGGGAATGTGTTACCCTAAAAGAATGTGGATTACAGTGCCACTCTTTCCTCCAGACACTCGAATTGCAGCCATGTGGAATTTCTGCACAGAAATGGCAGGGCTCGAGGTATGGATCGCTAGTGAAGTTGGGCAGCAATAAAGGCCTGAACGGGGTTTGACCCGGAGATATCAGGTAGTCTGGGCTGAATTGCAGATGGAGCCAGGAGAGGACCTGGTGCGAATAGCTAAGTATTAGGAAACCCCATCACCCCCACTTCCTTCCAGGAGGATCCCCTTTGGAACTCTCTGGAATTCCTTTGAAGTTTCAAACCACAGCATTGCCAGAGTTTTGGCCCCAGGAACATGGTGACAAATTGCTGATACGTTCTCACTTCTCTCAGGTAATATGACTGAGGTGAGGGTATGTATGACCTTGGAGAGTGTTCACTAGCTTCAGACAGGGTTCCAATAAAGGCCTGATGGGTCATGAATCTTTGGGATGTGAAAAATGACCGTTGTTGCTCACCTAAAAATCAAGGTCTGGGGTGGTTTAAATTTCTTTCGTTCATAAGAGGTATTCGTTTTCTACTAATTCACCTAAAAATAGTGAAGCTCACAAATGGAGGTGTAGTTCTATGAGTTTTCATAAGTGCATACATGTGCCACCATAATCAGGATACAAAACACTATATTGCCCCAACAAAACAACTTCCTAGTGCCCATTTGTAGATACTTTCCCTCCACTCTTAACTCATGACTTGTTCTAGTTCCCGATACCTTTGGTCTTTCCAGAATGTCATATAAATGTAGACTTTTAATTACTATTTTTGAAATTTGATGCGATAGTTTGAAAATTGGGTAATTATACTTGGCCTCCGGAGTTGCTGATTTAACAGTTTCAACAGTACCCACTACAGATGATGGCACATATTAGGCCTTCAAAATAGATTGCATTGTCATTCTCATGTGCATAAGCTTAAGTAGGACTCTGCTCCTGTGCTTAACTTTTGTCATTTGTACACTGGGGAGGATATTTGGGAGAGGCGATCGAATGAGGTAATAGTGATTATGAAATGACACTAATCTCTGCAGTGCTATGAAAGCAAGAATTAATGGGGAACAAATGGACAAAGACTGGACTTTATTTGCCTTTCAATTAAACGCAAAGCTGTTATATTTTTCTCTTTTCTAACATTTAGTGGAAGTCTAAGCATATGGAAACAATACATGTGAAAAGCAAAATGGACATTTGGGGCGTTATGAAATATTAAAACGAGTTTACCCATTCTCCTATAAAAGAGCATTAAAATCATCCTTGTTTGAAGATGTCTGAAAAATTGGGACATCACTCAAAATGATAGCCCGTCTGCAGCTCATTTCAATTATTCTTCTGCCACTTATAGCTCTTGCCGTTGCTTTTATCAGGAAATCATAGTCAGCCTGCAAAGATATCATGTGGAAAGGCCCAGAAGGGGTTAGAACTAGGAAGGTAACCACAAAGCTTCCTCAAACTGTGGTTTTCGCAAAACAAATTTTGTCAAAATGCCAAATGTATAAGGCAATTTCAAATTTATTTGCAGGGATGTTAAACACAAATGCCCACACATCGTGGTTCAAATTAATAAGACGCCTCTGGTCCCAGATAACAACGTCCAATCTCATAAACATATATGACATGCACTAAAATTTTAACTATTGAAAAAAATAAGGTTGAACGATGACTATATCTTCATTTTCTATGGAAAAAATAACAGTTGACTCCATGAATGGAGAATCATTTCTGTATCACTGTCCACTACCTACTAATACCTTTGAACAGTTCTAGAAATGTTTAAGGTATATTAGATGGGTAAATAAAGATGAATTAATGATGATAACCTCAGTCATTGAGGCCTTCATTCTGCATTTTCTTTTATCCCCATCATTATGGTTTATATATGACTTCATTCTGCTTTGATATTATCCAATAAAGTTTAATGTTTTCTCAAGATCCTTTTATATCCTTTGCTAGACTTATTTAGTACTTAAATTGATTTTTAAAAACCATTATGTTCTTACTATTATGTTATATTAATAAAGTTATAACTATAAGAAATAAAATTTATTAGGAAAATGCCTAAAGTTGTATGCACCTGGTAATATTAGCTCAGAATGTATAATGCTTAAATTCACTTAAGTTACAAACCTGATCTGACAACTCGTAGTTACAATATTTTAATATATCTTTTCAGTAAATTTAAAAGAGATTGACATGTTAGTATACAACTTATTTGAAAAGTTAATAGTTCTCAGAAACGCAGCTTTTGTTCAACCAAAAAGCACATTTATTTCATCACACATAATCAATCTTAATAATTGAACACATACCGAGGGATCGTATTCAGCTCTGCGTAACAGAAACCCCACGCAGTCTGCTAATGTCAGTAATGAGCTTATTTATCTCATAGATGCTCCAGGTAAGGGCAGCCGCTCAACAATGCAGTAAAGAAATAGAGCACCATGTGTTCCTATGGCTGTGTCATTGCATCTGTTGTAGTGGAATCAGAAACGTAGAGACTTGAGACATGAAGATCAGGAGGTGTTCACTATACAGATTAGACTTTACATATGGAAAGATATAGAGAAAAGTGGGGTCAAAGATAAGACAAACGCTTCAGAAGAAGGTTCATTCCCACAGTAGCCGTTCCAAGGACACGGCCTTGAGAGAGGAAGGTACACGAGACAAGATCAACAGCCATGACAACCTAATCAGTGGCCTGACAGATAGCATAGGGTTGGCAGGAAAATGCTAACTGTGAACATCTGACCATAAAGGAGCATCCATGATGGCAAAGCTCGAAGGGAGGGATGTCTATGGAAGCCTATATCTCCAACAAGTGGTAGTCAACCAGATGGTATTTTTTTCGAGGACACTTTTGATTGGCAGGGCCAGCAATCAGAAAAATAAGCTGGAGACTGGTGTCCACAAAACCCCTATGCATCTGCCTTATCTCCCTGGATAGTGGTGGCTCAATAAACTGAATAATCACTTCCAAATCTAATATAATTTGGGGTATTACAGAATTCTATTATAGGACCATATAAAGAAAATGTAGTTCCTAGCCTTACCTATGTTGCTATAATACAACCCAAAAGAACCATCCTCACTTCTAGATTTCTTTGTTTCTTCTTAATTCAAAGCTATTGTCCAATTCTCAACCCGAAGCAAGGACAAAGACCATACAGCAACAGATAAAGAGCTCATATGAAACTATATTCATTTAAGACCTTCGCATACTTACAAAGTTCTGCCAACTTACATATTGACAAATTTGCTAGCCAGCAAAATGGAATAATGATCCTTTGACCAAAAAAAATTGCTGAGCATACATACCTTATGTAAGTAAAAAGTGTTAATATTAAAAATTGTAGGTTCTCTCAATAGAATAGTAAGGTGAAATATATGTAATGGGTTAAGTGATATCCAATTTGGAACATACTGGGCCAGTAAAAACATTCCCCCCAAAAAAACAGTGCCATTACATTGGTCTAATGGCTCCATGCTTACAGAACAGTAAAACATATGTATATAAAAAATTATGTTTAATTTAAAATGCAGTTCAAATTACTCAAGGCTGCATAACACTTCAAAATGAAAACAGAATAATCATTAAATGTATTTACAAGGAAAAATACACTATATATCAAAATTCATATACTACAGATGTACTTAGCGAATTCTCCTTTTGATGCTTATTTGAAAAAAAATGGAAATTCATTTGCTAAGAGTCCACTTTAAGGACGAGGTACTGATCAAGGCAATATCATAGTTATAATTTCTATAAGACTTCTCTCCCAATATGAACTTCCTGGACTGTTACACATTAATTAATTTCCTTCAGAATGTCCCACATTACTTATATGTACAGGGTTCCTTTCCACTATGAGTTCTCACATGACATTGAAAGGATTTGAGACAACTGAAATCTTTTTTCACATTTTTCACATTTATAAGGTTTCTCTCCAGTCTGCATTCTGACGTTTTTGGAAGGATGAGGGCCAATTGAAGGCTTTTTTCACATTACTTATATTTATGGGTCTCTCTCCAGAGTGCTTTCTGACATGTTTGTGCAAGGATGAGAACCAACCAAATGTTTTCCCACATTCTTCGCATTTATATGATTTCTCTCCAGTCTGCATTCTGACATTTTTGGAAGAATGAGGGCCATCTGAAGGCTTTCCAACATTGCTTACATTTATAGCTCTCCAGTGTGCATTCTGACATGTTTGTGTAAGGATGAAGGCCAACTGAATGCTTTCCCACATTGTTCACATGTATACGGTTTCTCTCCATTGTGAATTCTCACATGTCTTTGAAAGGATGTGAGCCAACAGTAGGCTTTCCCACACTGCTTACATTCATAGGGTTTCTCTCCAGTGTGCATTATCATATGTACTTGAAAGGATTTGGGACAACTGAACCCTTTCCCACATTGTTTACATTCATAAGGTCTCCCTCCAGTGTGCATCATCACATGTACTCGAAAGGACTTAGGACAACTGAAGGCTTTTCCACATTGCTTACATTTGTACGGTTTCTCTCCAGTGTGACTCCTTATATGTCCAGTGAGGGAATGGGAACGAATAAATGTTTTCCCACAAAGTTTACATGCATAGGGTTTCTCCCCACTGTGTGTTTTCACATGATTACTTAGGTATGAAGAACAACTAAAGGCTTTCCCACATTCCACACATTGATAGAGTTTGTGTCCAGTGTGACTTTTTTTGTGCCTCTTAAGGGATGAACAATGCCTGAAGACTTTTCCACACTGACCGCATTCATACAGTTTTACTCCAGCAGGAGTCTTCTTGTGCAGCTTAAGACTTGGAATATGGCTGAAGGTTTCTTCATATTTATTACTTTTACTACTTTCACAGAATCTCTCTATCATATTTTTGCTAAAAAAGAAAAGCACATTATTAATGGTTTGTATATTCATGATTTATTAATATTTATTAATGAGTACTGCGATTATATTTTTACCACTTTCTGTGAAAATGGAAATTTTATGTCCGGTTTGAATTATTTCAAAGTGGAATAAACAAAATGTTTCAGAAGAGGGTTCAACCACAGCCCATTAGTACAATAATGTTTCTCGTGTTTGGAGTTCCCTGATAAATTGTTTGCAACTGAATTGTCTTTCAGTGTTTAAGTCACATTAATAAAAAATGGGAGGTTAAATTCTCTGTGAATAAATAAATTTAGAGCTAGTGTTATGTTTGTTTGTTTGTTTTTAATTTAATGAAATATTAAGATTCTCTACTAGGATACTGCTTTTCCTCCTAAGTACAACTCACCTCAAATGTCTCCCCTGGTTGTGCTTATTTTCAGTACACTGGTCTTCCCAATTTTCTTCTAAAAGGGAGGTCCAAGAATCATTTTTGGTGAACCTCGCTATCTTCTGTTCATTGGATAATTTTTCTCCAAAAATATCCTTCTGGGAAGTGGACCCATTGGTTTTAAGTTGAATCTCATCAGCTGAAACAAAAAAGTGAACCAATCTTATAAGGAAGTCCCCTGTGAGCAAGGAAATACATTCAGTTTAGCCTTTTCAGGACTTCATTATTAACAGTCCCAAGAGGTCAAAATGGTAGGCAATTTAATACACACAGAAAACCCACAACAAGGTTTCAAATGACAAACCCCTCTGTGCTGACAATGTGACCCATGGATATACACCAACACTGATGACACTAAGTGACTCTACGTCTCTTAAACATGACAGAAAGATAAACACAGGTTAATTTGTAGATTTTTCTTGTCACAGAAGAATTATTAGATTCTAGGACCATGATGGCTGTGACCATGTCTGTCTTATTTACCAATGTATTTCCCTTCTACATTCCAAATCTGAAAATCTTAACGAGTAAGAAATTTTTATTCTCCAAATAACTAAGTGAAAGAAATATGCCATCCTTACCTACTGAAACCAGGTTCCTGAAGGTTTCCAGCATCACATCTCTGTAGAGTTTCCTCTGAGCAGGGTTCAGCAAGGCCAACTCTTCCTGGGTGAAGTCCACAGCCACATCCTCAAAAACCACTGAGTCCTAAGACAAACCACATATATATAGGAGGATGAGTGACACGGACAACACAGGGCAAGTAGGCTCAATTCATAAAAAGTTCAAATAAGGTCCTATGGTCTCCCAGTGTCCATTCTCAGTTCCTGTGTCATAGTTTCAACAGCACCACTAACACACTGAACTCATCACTCTACATTTTTACTGTGACCCTCCTTGTCTGGTTTCTCTCTTTTTCAGAGTCTAGAATAGTCCAGAACACATTGGAAAAATGAGATAAATGGTATACAAATGAAACATATTTCCATTTTGTGACTATCGATTCCTTGTGACAAAAGCTATTTCATATCTTTCCTTATTGTCCACATCACTTTGCACTATATGAACCACAAGTTCAAACCCGGATAAAGTTTTAATAAATAAAAACACACTGGACAAGGTTCTAATAAGTAAAACCACACTGGACAAGGTTCTAATAAGTAAAACCACACTGAAGGACTAAAAGCTTTTCCTACTTAGCCCTTCACCAACCACGAGTGGTCCAAGGGCCACTTTTTTAATGAAAATCCAACTTGCAACATGGGCCAGCAGACCCTATGTCTTGATGTACTCCAGGCCCTTAGAAGTAGACAGATTCAACTGGCTACATGAAGACATTTTTCTGGAGAAATGTTAATTTTAACTTATATGTGTATTACTTGTGTCTTTTATTTATCACAGAATCAGTGGCTACTCTTTCTTCCTCTACATCCCATTCATTAGAGACAGAAGAGATATTGAGAAAGAGGAGGAAGGAGGAAGAAGATATGAGAACTTAGACTTTCCATAATCCCCACATTCACAATCCTTGGTATTGGTATGCACCAATTTTGAGTACACACACACATACACACACTGAAGTTATAAGGTGCCAGAACAGCTCTTTCCACTAGAAGCATAAAAGAATTACTCTGAGTCTCCCTAACCTTGAGGAACAGGCTAAGAGTCCCTATGAAAGAGACAGGAGGGATCCCTCACCCCTTTCACCATATGAGCACACAATGACAAGGTGCCAGGTATGAAACAGGAAGAGAACTCTCACCAGAAAATGCTGGTGCTTTGATCTTGGACTTCCCTGCTTCCAGAACTGTGAGAAATAAATTTCTGTTGTCTATAAGCTACCATGTGGCATTTTTATAGCAACCTGTATGGCTCAGCTAACACACATAGCTAGAGGCTAGTATGACGGAAGCAAAGAGAAATCGGGAGTAACATTTGAGGATGCTGGAGAGTGATGGGAGGTGGGGCAAATCATCTTGTGGGGAGCTAGTCAACTCTGACACTGTGAGAAATGCTGAGCTACTTCATTCAGGCTTTTGCAAGAGGAGTGATCTCATCTGATAAGTTTAACGATCCATCAGATATACTGAGACTAGGCTGCAGGGGACAGATGTAGAGGCCAGGACACCTGCTAGAAGAGTAAAGCCATAACTAGGTGAGAAGAAGGTGGGTCAGCCCAGGTGATCACATTGGAGTGTGCAGGGCAAGCACAGCAGAGCTAATACAGATTCCTGATGTTGGGGCAAGACAGAATGAGGGGAGTTGTGAATGTCTCTGATTATTTCACACAGCAAAAACTGGAATAACAGAGTTCCCACCACCTGAGATGTAGAAGGCAATATGTGGATTAGGTTCTTGGGGAGAGGATGAGGTGTTCACCATAGGGCATACTGAGATGGGAATGAGAATAAGATATCTAAGTGGATACATGTATAATAATGTTTTTAGGAGAACACTCCACAATGGCAAAAATTTGAAAACACCCAAATAGCTACTAGCACTAGAGTTAATAAACAACAATGGTATATCCCTGCCAGTGAATATAAGAGAGCAATAAAAGTGAATGAACTGTTACTATTCCATGAAAGACCATGAAATAACTTTGAACTAAAGAAGCCTGACAAAAAATAGCATGTATACTATGATGATATTTACATGCAATATAAAGCATTCATAACTAGAATATCTTTATTTAAGGCTGCATATACGGGTGTTGATAGTGTAAAAAAAAGTATGGATACTATCATCACATAATTCGGGGTATCGGTAAAATCTAGAGGCCGAGGAGGCCTACCCTTGGTAATCATTTCCAGTGGGGTGTCTGATGTCAGGCATTGTTCTAGATCTGGGGCTGGATTTTATTTAACAGGTGTTTATGTTTTATTACTTGCATGGACTGTACATAGATCTTATGTACTTTTCTGCATGTGTGTTATACTTTTTAATAAAATCTATAACCAATTAATATACCTGAAATCATCTTAAGAGTTATAGAAAACCATTTTATAATATTCAACAGAAATGCATGAAAAAAAAACTCACAGCTTTTGGGAACAGATGGTAATATGCATAGCGCAATAAAGGGCATACCAAAAAAAGACCATTCAAAAAGAAACATATAAATGAAGTGAAGTGAATCGTTTTCTTCTACCAAAAAAAGGACAAACCTAGATTCCCATTACTTGACTCCTAGTCAACATTATACTACAGAAACAATCCAGTGTCACCTGAAAATAAACAAATGTACAAGAATTACAAAAGAATGAAAGCTTATCATTATGCATAGCACTAATGATGCATGACACTATGCATGACACTAATCCAGTGTCACCTGAAAATAAACGAATGTACAAGAATTACAAAAGAATGAAAGCTTATCATTATGCATAGCACTTTTAGGGTGTGTAGGACCCTAAAAGAGCAAAGAGAACCATAAAATAAGATTTTTAGCAATATTCCAGAATACAAACACAATATAAAAAAAAATCTATCTTTCTATTTACTAACAACAGAAAGTCGGTAAGTGAATGTTAAAAAGGTAACACAACTACATGACAGGACAGGGGCTCCGTGGACCTGCTCTCCAGTGAAACTGGTAAAACAGTTTCTTTTAAAACAACCACATTTAAAGTCTCTGGAAAGAGTCCTAAGGGCATACAGTAAATGAAGAAACAGCTATGCAAGGGAGTCCCTGAAAATTCAGTAAGAAATGTGAGAGTCTGTGATATATGAGCCAGGACAACGCCCTGCTCGCTGGACTTTAGTTTCAGACTGGAGCCAAGGACACAGGCTCCCAGCTGGAGAAGGACGACATCAAGATTTCTCATTCCACTCCAGCTGCCTGTTACTGAGGTTAAGTTCCAGCAAGTGTAGTGGAGAGGTGGGTCTCCCTCCTTCTGCCCCACCTCCGAAGGCTCTGTGGTGGGTACAGGGCTGCGGAGATACTGGGAGACCTGAGTGCTCTTATTCTGCCTAATAAAATGGAGGTTCCACACCCAAGAGAGGCCAGCTGAGATGACCTCATGCCACTGCCCTTCCTCCACTGTATGCTCAGCTCCTGAAGTGGGGTGTCACTGGGAAAGAAGTGTGCCATTGTCCGCATCCTGTGCCAGTGCCCTGGCTCAGAGATTTTGACTGGAGGAAGAAGCGGGCTGTAAAGCAGGTAGTTCTTAGTCTCTTCCCAAAGCACTGACTTCCCAAGGCAACAGAACATGGAGAAGTTCAAGCCTAAGGGTGCTCTCAACAACAGTGGAGGGTATGGTGAAGGACAACCGGGAGGAGATTCAAGATACTAGCAAAAATGCAGTCCACCTTGTTTGCAGGAGAGAAACAAGGAAAGAGACAGGTGGAAAGAGCCCTCTTTGGGTCCAAACAAATACCAGACACGGGTCTGTGGAACTATCCTTCAAAGGAGTCTGAATTTGACTTGATTCGTCTGTAGAGCAATGTATTCATGATGGCATGATTGAAACAACAGAGCAATATGCCTGCTCTGATTAATGGAGTTGAACAGCTTGAGATGGTTAAGGAAAGAAAATAAAAAAGCCCTGCCAACACTACTGCCAACCCAGGGTGACTGTGGGCATACCTGGAGCCAAACTTCCCCGAGGAGGAACCAAGGCAGCTTAATACTGCGGGGATGCGGAGGTTGGGAGGAGGAGTTAAATAGCCTTGACTAGAATAATCCAGCCAGTCACCAAGCAAATACAAATAAACACTAATAACGACCTCCAGAGAAGAGGGGCCAGTAGCCAAAGTTGCTACGATATATTATCTATAATGTCCAGTTCCCAGTAAAGAAAAAATTACAAGGTGTGCAAAGGAAAAGGAAATCATGACTCTTACAGCAGAATGATAATAAGCAGACAACAGAATCTGTCTGTGAGAGTGGACAGAAAAAAATTACAAATAAAATTTGTAATTTTATTTGTAGTTAAATAAAATCAATGTGAGAGTGAACAGAGAGTGAACAGATGTCAGATTTAATGGAAAACAGCTTCAAAGTAGCCATTATAAATATGTTCAGAGAACTAAAGGAAACCACGATTAAAGAAGTAAAGGAAGCCATGATGACAATGGTCCATCAAACAAAGAACCACACTAAAGAGACAGAGTTATTCGAGAACCAAATGAAAAGTTTGGAGTTGGAAAGCATAACAACTGAAATTTAAAAGTCACCAGTGGAACTGAAGAGTAGATTTGAACTTGTAGAAAAGAGAACTATAAATTATATTATTCCTTTCATATGAAATTTCCAGAATAAGAAAATCTATAGAGACAAGAAGTACATTAGTGGTAATTTATGGCTGCGGGGGTGGGGGGAGGGGCAGAGGGTGAGAGCTACAGGATATAAAGTTTCTTTTGAGTTAATGAAAATACTCAAAAATTGACACTGATGCTGGTTGCACATATCTGTAAATAAACAAACTACTGCATTGTGCATTTTAAATTGGTGAGTTGTACAATATGTGGATTATCTCAATAAAGCTTTTGTAAAAAGCTAACACATAAAAGATGATTCTAATGAAGGGTATAAAAGATTCTAATGGGGGAGAATTCAACTTCATTGGATAATAGCAAAGCAGAATGAAATAAATGACATTTTGGTGAGTCTTTGTAATTCACCAATTAATATACCAAATAATTTTCGTGTGAAAATACATTCATTTTCTACAGCCATAACCAGAGAAAGATTTTCTCTCCTTCTCTCTGATTCGTTTTCCCAGTAGCATTTTCAAGGCTAAGCCCTGGAATTCCATTTGTCATCACCGAAAAGAAAACAACAGATGTGAGAAACAACCACACAAGCTCCAGGAGAGAAAAAAGGCACAGAAGAATTTTTAACAAATGGAATGTAAGACTAGAGCATTTTTTAATTTCTGAAATTCACCTCTTCCTTGCTTCTTTAGAATTCTTTTATCTTATCTTTCAGTGTCTATTAGTTAAATGTATTTTACATTTACTGAATAATCCGAGGCTCGAATAACCAAATAAATCTTTTCAAGGTGACAAACCCAGGGAGGGGCAGTGCTGAACTGGACACAGACATAGATGACTCAAAGGGTCAAGCGCGGCCATCCTACCACGTGGGACACGCAGCCCCCACCACCTGTTCACTGAAATGCTCCCTGTACAAAGGGCACCGGCTGATGTCCCGCTGTGAGTCTCAAGTGCATGTGGCTTTGCAGGCGGCTGCCCCAGCTCACCGGGTGGGCTTTCCCTGTCCTCTGGGTTCGTTTCTCTCCCTTCAGGGGGCCCGAATCGCTCCTGTCTTTTCTCCTGAAAACCAGCATCCGGTCAGCAGACAACCGTGTCCCTCCAGGCAATGAGAACAGGGGTCAGGCTCAGTTAGGGACCGAGCACCGATCCCTCCAGCCCGGGCCCCGTGCAGGTCTCCCCACTGCCCCCGCCCCTGCAGCCTGTGCGCTGGGAGGAGCCGACCAGGGGCTGGCATCCCTCGACCCTCACCCCCGGGTAGGTGCAGCTGTGCGCGGCTGGGTCACCCCAGGCCGTCCTAAGACGCCGGAACCGTCGCAGGGCTGGACGGGACGCTGGGACCCCACCCCGCGGCTCACCGCAGACACTCGGGTCCGTACCCGAGGGACATAGGAGACCCGGCCCGCAGCCGCCTCCGGCCGGTTCCATTCAGCTCGAACCGGTCCCTCCCAGTCCCGGCCCTGATACCTCGCACTCACCATCTCGCGTCCCAGCTCCAGGTTCTCACCTCGTCCTTCCCGCGGCCCCAGCAGGTTAGAGCGACCGAGAGCGACACCGGGGAACGCACCAGCAGGTGCGCCCGGGCGCGAGGGCTGCAGAGAAAGCTGTCTACCCGGCTGGGAGCGCGCCCACCACCAGATTGGACAGTGCTCCGGACACCCCGCCCCACGGGGACTCCAATTGGACAGTGCTCCCGGCCACGCCCCAGCTCTCCCTCTGGGACAGTTAACCAACCCGAGCCAGCGCTCTTGGGTGGACAGTTTCCCACCAGTGGAACTACATGACTGACCTTTGGGGCCTGGCCAGACCCTGGACGTTTGCGTCCAAGCAGAACTAGCTCTGGGTCACCAGGCCGTACTTAGGTGTCTTCCGGAAGCTCAGTAGCACTTCCTGCGTCCAGATTTACTTTCCCCATGGAGCGACACCACCCTCCGGTCCCGAAAAGGAGGGCCACCCAGGCTGGGCTGGGACAGGAGGGCCTGGTGTCCTTCCGAGGTCACCTTAGCCTGGGGCCACGATCTGTGCCCTCTGAGAACACGGACATTTAGCAGTGACGTCACCACGTGCAATGCAGGGTCTGCGTAGTTTTGATGTGTCGCCACTGACGTTGTCGGCCTTCCCTACCTTTCCCTTCCCTACCCTACTTACGTTATTTACAAGCAACTGAAAAAAAATCGTTTTATGGCTTGCATTAATATCGTCCTCTTTTATAAAGTAGTCGTTAGAGGATCATCATGTATAAAAGAGGCTTCCTATTAAAAATGTATTACATTTGACTTATAAAGTATTTTAAAATATAGCTAATATATATTTTAAATTTTTAAAATGAATGGCATTTTTTAAAAAAAAAATCTGCCTGAGACTTATAAGTCTGTCTTTAAACTCGCTCTTAGTGTACCTCTGGATTGCATGTCCACTTGCCCCATATTCTCGTAAATTCCTAATATATTAGTTTCTGTACATATGGTCAGTGTTTATGTAGAGAGGCAATCTCAATTCTGTATTTTTTTTCTCTTTGACATATCAATGTAACATCGTTTACACATTCATGTAGACTTTGATTTTTTTGTTGTTCAATTATAAATCCTGCAGTTCTTCTCATATCAATAGATGATTTCCTTAATTTTTATAAAGGGGTATATGATGACATTTTTATGGAATCAGTTTCATCTGAATAGGCACTGGATTCATTCCCAACCTTTCACGACTCGAATCCTGCTCAAATGAATATAAACTTAAATAGATCCAGCATAAAAGACTTGAGAATCCCTTCCAAACTGAAATTCAAACTGGGTAGGTGGTCAGATATGGTAAAATAAATATTTTTAAGTTATAGATTTTTTTCAAACATAAATAATTCTTTAAATTTTTGTGATACGGTTTATCATACTTAGAAAAGATAAACTGTTTTATGTTAATTTTAAATAATATTGTACAAACTCTCTGGACTTGGCACAAACAATAATCAATAGACTTTGGGCAGATATTAGACTCCCCAGTGTGTCCACTCTGACTTCATTTCCCTACTTCCAGATGTGAATATTATTGGGGATTCTTCATAGTTTTACTATCCTTCATAGTTTTATCCTTCATAGTTATCCTTCATAGTTTTACTATCAATCATTCATCACAAAGTAGTGTTTTGCTTAACTTTGCCTCTTTTGAGATTTTTATGAAAAGATATTAACAGAATTACCTTAAGCATGGTCATCACCGATTTTTTGCCTCAAGCTGTTTCACATATGCTGGTGTCTGAAGATGTGGGTCATCCAATCATTTATACATTCCAGTCCTTATGGTTTGGGGGCCATTTCGAGGTCATGAAAAATGCTGCTCCTATCATCCTGTTTGTTTCCAAGTGCCCATGCATAATGAATTCTCTACACATTGGAGAAAAATTTACTGAGTTGTAAACTATGAGTAATTTCAAATGTACAGAAAATGCCAATGGAGCCTATGAATTTACCTTCCCACCACTTCTGCACGTTTTATTCCACATGACTGACACTGGAATTGAACTTAATTAATTTTTGCCTATCTAGTGCGAAATGGATTTACCTTATTATATTCAATACCTATATCTATATATCAATAGATATTGAGCATTTTCTATTTCATCTATAAAATATTTATCAGTCACGTTACTTCATTTGTACGCTTATTGGTTTCATCTGATTTCTTTATATATTCTGGACATGAATCTTTTTCAGTTGTAGGTACTGCAAATAACTGTGATTGATCTTTGTAATCCCTTTATTCTACATTTTGTTGTACTGCTCTTAGTGTTAAATTTCTCAATTTCTTCCTGTTTTTCTTTTCTCCCTATTCTGAAGTCATAAACATTTGCTGTAACTTCTGAGACTGTTCTAGTGTCCTTCTTCGCATGCAAATCATCAATAAGTTTATTATATTGTCCACGTGTTAATGTAGCCATCATTTCTACCACTGCTTAGCAATGAGTGCTGCATCTTCTTGGTAAAATATGCCAATGTTTGTATTTTATAATATGGAAACATTTTTACCCCTGAAATGAGCTCCACTCTTTGATACTTAATATATTGGGAATTCTACTGTCCAATGTTCCATTTATAACTTATTCTTCATTCAAAATTAAGCCTGGTGGTTCATTATTATGATCACAGGGATGGTTTCATGGACTTGCATGTGTCACGACTTATGTATCAGTATTTTATTTCAGTTATTACTCAACGAACCTAAAAAGTTAGCTTGATCCCAACATATTTCATGCAGTATCAAACTCATACAAATTTACTAAAAACCATGAAGCTTTTAGGTTTTTTTCCTATATATTGGAAGAATTTAGTAATACAACTGTGTGCCTCTTAAAGGTTTAGTACAACTCAGTTGTAAACTTGAGCCTGCCAGGCCCTTATATCTCATTACACATAGACTGGGAAACAGCACAGTCTTGCGGTGAAACACAAAGAGACACTCCAACCTGGACACAGAGACCACCGCTAGAACACAATGATCCTCACAGACATACTATCCCCAAGACATATGTGCAAAATCACCCAGACTTTGTCACTGGGAAGTACAGGTGGACACACTGACACACATCGAAGCCACACCCTCAGATAACGGTTCCAGAGGCAGTAACAAACTCTTCCACAGACACATATAGTTAGCTCAAGACCCTCTGTACATCCCTACCCCGAGCTGTTTTTCTCCTTAGGAAGTGTCACCAGCCACACAACGGATAATTTACTTGTATAACTTGATTTTTGTACCCAAGAACATCAGCTTTAAAGAAATAGTGATATTTAGCCTATTCTGTTCACTGCAGAACCTAGAACATAATCTGTTACACAGAATATCAATAAATACTTATCGACTGTCTAGATCAAGAGACACACGCATAGAGGAGTTTATCCACAAACGCCGCCACAGAGCCACATCCACTGGACCTTCAGAGAACGAACTGTTTTAGCGCTCAACCATTGTGGCAGAAGGCTAATCCCCAGCACCCAAACCCCAAATGGACTTTCGGCTGTCCTGCTGGAGAGGGATTCCTGAGTCATGCCGACCACACAGGAACTAGAAACAGGGAGCCTGACTCGGGGGTCGGACACGACAAGAGTTATGTCGATCCAGACTTCACAGAACTTTAGGATTCTTCCAGAAATGAGTCTTTCGCCAGCAGACCGAGGTAGCTCCGTTAGGGCATCATTGGTGTCTGTCCCCTAGTTCGGCCACCATGTTCTCCGCCTGTCACCTGGCACCTTCATCTCCGCTGCAGAACTATCTACTCGCGGTGGACTGTCGAACCGTCAGGGCCTTCCCCGTAAGTTGCCGCTGCGCGAGCGCAGGAGGATGTGAAAAGACGAAGACATCAGGAGCTAAAACCACCCCACCAACCGCCACTCACCTGAGGAACCCGGAACCCAGAGGCCGGAAGCTGCGGCGGCGGAAGCGGCGGCGGCGGAAGCTGGGGCGGGGCTTCCACTGCTTCCGTTTCCGCTCCCGTCTGTACCCCTTCTCGCGGTCTCCCTCTGGAGTCGCTGCGCCCACGCATTTCAGCGAAGGCAAATACTCCCAGGAATCTCTAGAATACAGCTAATTTAGGCTCAGGCCCGTGTTGGATGCTGGAAACAGGCGTGGGGCTCCCGGGGATTGAGGGCCTTCCCTTCGGAACTACATTTCCCACAAGGCAATGGGCTCCACGCTGTGGGTTTCCACCCAGGAAGAAACGCGCATGCTTGGCGGCAGGTGACTCGAAAGACCTGCGCTGGGGCGCGCGGTTAAAGAAGGCACTGAAGTATCCAGCGCGTGGTCGGTGTCTTGGGGGCTCAGGGGCTCAGATCTCAGACCTGAACAAGGTCGCATCCAGTGATGCGTAACAGTGGTTGTCAGTCATAGTAGGCGTCTTTGTGACGTCAAAAGCGGTTTTGAGAGTCTCCGGGGTGTGGTCGTGCAGAGCAGATGCATGTGCAGCAGCAGGGGTTTCTGTGGCTGAGGGCCCTGTGTCCCCTGTGTCCCCGTGACATGGGTTCTGCCCCTGCTGTTTTTGCTCTCACCTCCCAGCCACGTGGGGCTGCCACAGTTTTCTCAACAGCGAAAGGGGTGTTGGGATCCGTAATGACGTCCTCGGCAAGAAAGCACAGGACTGAGGTTGCTTAAACTTTAGAGGTGGAAATGGCCTCAAGGCAGGCCTCGGAAGGAAACGATACTGACCCCCAAGGACTAAGACGCCGGCACGCAGGGTCCACCTGTAGGTTTCAGAACCAGTGCATTGCTAAAAGTCTGGTCCGAAGAACCTGGTGTAACATCAGAGACAGATTCCAGAAGTCTCGCCCGCTCTAGGTATGTGTGTGAGGTGAGGGCGGTAGAAGGTTCTTCTGACTACTCACTGGCTTCCGAAAAGAGCATGATAGGGCATAAATCCTTCCCAACTCCCGTGATTCTTTCCAAGAATTATCCCCACGTGATGGAAAGAAGTCTTGTTGCAACCAAGACATCA